CTCCAGCTCGCCTCCTTGACGTCATGTCTGTAGCGAGGCTTCAGCAGGCGCAGTGGAGGCAGGCAGCGTGTTAAACTTTCAGATCAAGTCCGGCGGCTCCCAACGCCGTGCGCGGGGGGCTGCGTGCAGCCGCCGCAGCTGGAACATCTGGAAGCGTTCAGTGTGTCTGTCTGTCGGCGAGAGGGAGAGAGCGGGGAGCGAGCGCGCTGAGGGAGGGGAGGGAGTAAGGGGCTGGGACTGTGCTCTCTTCCTCTGCAGAAACAGCTCCCTGCCAACACAACGCGCTCAGAATGGCTTTGAAGAGGAGGAGCAGCAGCGTTTGAACATCTCTCTTTTTTTTTGCCTTCCTCCTTCTCTTACTCTTGTAGTTGGTGGATTTTAAAAAGACATTTAGCCCTCAGAGGTTTGTCCTGGATGCTTTTGCTTTTTTCCTTTATTCCCCCCCCTCTCTCTCGTTTCCCCCCTTCCTGTTCTTTTTTATGGTTTAACAGCCAGAGGTGCTGTGCTAAATTCTTGGAAGGGGCCCGGATGTACTGAGGATGCATTGCAATTTCACTAAAGGAGGCAGTAGTGGAAAGGATCAGTTTTTGGTGTTTGATGCAATAATGGGAATCAGGTAATAATAAAAGGGGAAATTCTACAGCTCCATTCTTCCTTGAATTTTACCAAGCCGATTTTCGGAGGGATTAATCTGGACTCGTTTTAAATGGTCAATGAAAACAAGAGGATGTACATTCCAGAAGAAAACCATCAAGGTAAGCCTGAGATTTACCTCCGAGGACCTAGCAACCATTCCCTACCCTGCCCTTTGTCCGTTATCTCCCGGCTCAGTTCAGCCGCCGCTGCCACAGCCAGCGGCAGGCGGAGGGGCCGGGGCAGAGGACAGCCTTTGACACCGGCTTCCATTCGGAGCATACAGCTCCCCTCGGCCGGGCGTGCTGCGAAGAGACCACCCCAGCCCCTCAGGGAACGGGTGTTAGGAAACCCCGGGCAGAGAAAAGTTGCTTTAAGTCGCCGTCGTCGCCTTCTTAGGCGGAGGGGTGAGGAGGGGCGCCCAGCAAAGGGGCTGCTCGCTGGGGCCAAGGGCTGAGGGGAGCCGCGGAGCAACCCACTCCGTGTCAGAGGAAGATTAACTCGCAGTGTGGCTGGAATTAAGGGATCTTTCCCAATTAACGTTGTCCCGGTCCTCCAAACCCCCGTCTGGGTACGGCTTCGTAAGACACCGGGAGAGGAGCCCTTCCCTTCTCTTACGCTATTTCTAATCTCTCACACGAAAGGGGAGGGGAAGGGAGAATTATCTGTTTACACGCATATACACCATACACGCGCCCATACTGAGAGAACGAGGGACATCGGGGGTGCCTGTATTAAAATTAAAGTTGGGGTTTACTTGGGGCACTGATTTCTCGCCGAGCTCCTCTCAGGATCGCCCGCATCATGGATACCAACCCGTGCTGCTGCTCCTCGGCATTAGCAAACGTCCCCCGCTATTCCCTGTAGTAAAACTTTGTTTGTCCAAACTCCAGAAGCCTTCCCCCGCCCCCACTCCCCCCCCTCGCCCAACCCCGATCTGCCGTTCCTGAAGTTATTTTTATCCTATTACCTGCATGGTGTCACCCCCTCCTCTCCCTTCCCTCCAGCCCTGGCTGCACACACACGTCGGTGTTGCAGAGCAGACAGAGCCATTTCCTCCCCTGGGCGAGAGAGGAGCAGCGCTCCGCCGGGAGCGGGTGCCGGGCTGCCTCTCCCTCCCCAGCAGAAGCCCCCAGGGCGGCCAACTTCTTCCTCAGCTCGCCCTTCGCCCCCGGCCTTGCCCTCAGGGCAGCCCCTCCCTCGGCCGGCGACAACTTGCCTGCCTGGAAACGAGCCCCCGCCCGCCGTGACCGAACACCTGCTCGGGGTGCGGGGGTGCCCCGGGTGAGCCCCCCAGCTGCCCCTACCCCCGAATCCTTCGCAGGGGCGGCCGAGGGTGCAGCTGGGGAGGGGCGTTAGCGCTGTGGCAGCCCTCAGTGGTGGAGGGGCAGTGGGTTTCGGAGATAACAACACCCTCCTTCCGATTAAATACAGCTTAAAAAGAATAAAAACCACCCAGCACCCCCACCCCTAGCCAATCTGTCGAAATGAGGTGGGAGGGGAAAGGAAGCAGCCCCTGATCCAGAGTGCTCCTTCCAAGTGGGAGCGAGTCCGCAGCACATGCATTCAGCAGGCATAATTGGGCTGCTCTTCCTGGTCCAGAGCTGATAAAGTGGATGAAGAGCTCAGCCTCCATAGCAATATGCCAACGCTATGGCAACCTAAATCCAGCTCCCTCCTTATCAGCTGCAGTGATTATATAATTGGAGGAACAGTTTTGCATCTGTCTCTTGATGCAGATTGTCATTACTCCCAGGTGAAAGAACAACTTCTAAAGCAAACAGAAAATCAGCCAGGTGGAAGAGAGTTCTGTTCCCTGATAGTGCTCAGGCTGCCATTTATTTACAATCTGTTTTTATTTTGTGCAAACAGCACCTGAAAGGTTAAATTGATCAGTAGTCAAGAAAACCTGGTGGTGAGGAGACAGGAGTAAACCAATCACAACGTGGAATGGAGCCATTAAAGCAACCACAGATTCCCAGTTGTGAGGTAGTGGTAGAAAGGGAGTGGAAGATGAAGTGAGGTCTGTGATCCTTGTCCACTCCTTGCTTTTAAGAGAGAAGACTGATTTGGATAAGTCTTGCGTCTCTCTCGGTTGCTGGCAGCAAGGTAAATGTTCCAGGTACTAGTGATGCAAGACCAATTTTGATGTCTGTTCTTGAAATGTGAGTGACATGACTAGGCCTCTGCCAGCAGTTGCTCTCTGCACAAGTCTGATCTCAGTCAGCCCTTTATCAGCCTGCTGAACAGCCCCTATGCTCAGGTATCTGGGCAGTAGGGGAGCTGGTGTAATAGGGCTTACTTAAAATAAATAAATAAAGCATAGAGAGGCCATTAGTTACACTGTGAGGACTGTGGGGAAGAGAAATTGCATTTGAAAGTGCTTTGTTGACTTCTTAACTGCTAATTTGGGTAGGTTTGTAATACACTTGTTTTACGCTTTTGAACATAACTTTGTACCCTGAAAATCTTTGACCCTAAACTAAGAATTTCCTAATTTTTTGGGGGTGTTAAAACATAAGCCTACTGTGTTTTCATTACAGTCTCCCGTTGTGTGAAGGGGGAGCAAACAGTATTATTTGTAGATGCTGAGGCACTTTCCAATCTTCATTTTTGCCCCACAACGGAGTGTATTTTTTTGTAACCATTAATTATTCATTAATACCACAGAGCACGTGTTTGTCTAGAAAATGATGAAAACCCACCTGATAAGCCCCAGCAAAAGCTTTCAAAAGTAACTACATCACATCTAATGCACACGTGGGACCGGATGGAATCCTAGATGGGCAGCTTTAATGCGCTGCCTCATAATACTTTGAAAACTTGCTCTCCTAATACAAAATGGAAAATCGGTTTGCAAAGCCACGTGTTGCAGCTCTCTCCGGGGAGGGACCGGAACGAGCCATCCTGGCCCCTTGGTGGCCGCGTTGGCTTTCCAGCCTTGCTCGAACACCTCGTGAGGTTTCGCTGCTGGCGTCCGGCGGGATCTGTCCTGGGGAGATTTGGGGATCAGGCAGGAAATGAAGCCAAGGCAGCAGTTTTTTGCCGTGTTTTTCAGTTCCGGGGATTAGGTGGGGAGGGGGAGCGGGGGGGTCCCGGGCTGCCTCTCCCGGAAGGTGGCACTGCAGGGCCGCGGAGCCCGGCGGCGCTCGGAGGGGCTCGGCAGGAGAGACACTTCCCGGGATGCTCGTCCAGCCCCTGCTCTTCAGGAGGAAAGGCCAGATGTAGCACTGAGAGATAAGCGTCTATCCCGGAATAAAATTCATTAGGATTGAAGAGCCCCTGTTAGGTCATTTATTCCGTATAGTAATGATTCTCTGAGTGAAAAGCCATTTCTGACACCATGTCTGAACTACCCTGCCTTCAATTTCAGAAAATGCCTTTGGGCTTTGTCCTTATTGCATATTTTGAACAGATTTCTACCTGCTGCTTGTAGAAAAGAACCCCCTCAGGTATTTGTCAACCATAATTAGGTCTTCTTGCAACCTCCTTTCCAAACCTGCACATACACTGTTCTTGAAATCTTCCCCTGTAAGACACTCCTTTCATAGTCCTTGTATCTTCTGTATCTGTTAAATTAAGAACTAATTAGTATACCCTTTATTTCTCAGAAGCCTATTGATAGCGAGAGGGTCAAGTCACAAGCATAGTCCCTAATGCATTTTCTGACCTGAAGTGAGGGTCAAACCCACAAATATTCCCCTTAACTTTGCAGGTATAAATAGAGATGATTGTGCACACTTCACAGCTGATTTCAGTTGAAGGATTGAAATCTGTCTCATGCTGTGCTACAAGACAAAACCATTGCCTATATGCACTAGAATTTATTGGATGTTTGCTTTAATTTTCTGGTCTATTTTCAGAATGCCAGTTTTATTTCCTGTTATTTTTTGGGGGAAATGCTTTTACGTGTAGGAGAAACCATGCTCTTTCCATGGTGACAAAGTGATCAGATTAGCAAACTGAATTGTCATTTTTGACTATTTGTTCTTGTGCTCTTGTTTTGTTGTCAGAGTGGGCATTAGTCGTGGGGCATAAAGAATACTCTAAGTGGTCTGAAACAGCTTATCTTCAAAATTTTTGTAGAAAAGAGTCTGAATCACTGTTTAAAAATGTGGCACTTTAATTCCATCCCTCCACCCTATTTAACAATAAACACTCATATTTATGAAGTATTGTCTTCTGCCTCAAAGTACTTGGAACTTTCAGTAACCGTAAAGCATTTAATGCAATATAATAAGAAATAGCAGTGTAATATAAAAATATTTAATATAATGCTAAGTAACAGTACTTAAACATTGTGCATAATACAGTGCACTGCATTTACTTGTGAAAGGTGACAGTAGAGTCTTCAGCAGAGCATTTCCTATCCTTACAAGGAATATTTAAATATCCTGGAATTTAAAGTATATACTTCTGAAAGATTGTCTTTGAAATTATCTTCAGTCACAGACACAGCAACCAGTGATGATGAGCAGTTAGGTCATCATTAGAGTTCCTGTTGACTGGTTCTACCTGAAGTTTGCACTGCTACCATGAACATTTACCTGGTGTGCTCTCTGCAACCAAGGCACCTTTATGAATCCACTCTTGCCTGCGTCTCTACTCTGTGATCAAAGATGTTTTGGGGGTTACATCCGAGTAATTCACTGCAGCAGACGTGACACAGTGTTGCCATGTGGAACTAATTTATCCTACCAAGATATTTACTTTGAATCATTTGTCCTCATCTTTTTGTTTCCTCAAAACACTTCAGGGAACATGTGGTAGAACTGTGGTGTTACTGTGTATGCTTGGTTTTGGCTTATTTTCTTTCAGTTTTGTGGAAAATGGTTCTATGTCCATGCTTAAAATAGGATTTATCTGAATGGCAATCACTTTTAAATTTATTTTTTGGGTGGGTGTGTTTGAATTGACATTTGTGGCAATTTGACCTGGGAAGTGTCTTGTTTAACCCTTTCTGGGAAATAATTAAAGGAACAGAGTCATTCAAGTTCAGGAACAGCAAATACAAGATCTCTTCTGAGCAAGTGTGTTCTCTAAATTTATTGACTATCAACCAACATAACAGATGTGACTGCATGCAGTAAAAGTCTCTCTTGAATTATTGAACACAACAAAT